TGAGAGGGATGCTAAAGCAATGGCGTCTTCGTAGTGGGTAGTGTATAGGGGGTGGCACGGCATTGGCGCTACCACCGGAGCTATAGGTACAAAGGAGGATGGTGCACAATGGTGATAGCGGGGGCATCTCTTGCCCGAGTGGTTAGATGACGTTGGCGGATATGGCAGCAGAATTGTCGGAGATGGTGGAGATTGGTGATACGGTAGAATTTTGTCAAAGATCAGGTTGAAGACATCGAGTGGGTAAGTGACGGCGATAAGGGACTTTTACAGTGCGTTGAACCTTGCTAGGGAGTGGCTGGCGTTCAGGTTGTCGCCATCAAGGAAGTAGGAGGAACGTGTGACCTCCTGGTGGCTCTTGGTGGCGTAAATGTCCAAGGACAAGATGGTGCATGGGGTGGAATGGATGGGAGCGGAGGCAGAGCTTTCCGGCATCGGCGGAAACGTCGATAGCATGAATCATGTTTGATACAACTCAACTTAAGTGTTGTTTAGAGCTGGGTATCTCTATCTCTACCTATAAAAGTTTTGGTGTCGATGATGCTGGTAGCAAATCAAGAATAATAGAGAACAATAAACTATTTTTTTACTTAAAGAGGGTTAATCCACTTTAGTTTCATCTACTAACTTTATTTTCTGAAAACGTAGGTCCTATATATTCCATCCCATAGTGTAAAGGGCTCCTCTCACTTTTCATCACTATGTCCAATCCCCTTATACTATAGTTGCATGCCTGAATGGCCCCCTTGAACGTCACGCACGCTGGGGTAGTAGCTACTCCCTCCGTCCTATAATGTTGTAACCTAGGACACTGCCAGCAACTTTCCACACCCTGTGTCTATGTCCACCCACGGCTTTCCCTGAAACTGGCCATTCATCTCAATGCAAGCTCTATGGATAAGCCATTGGGATTTTGGGAAGAGGGAGAAGAACGACACAGCACATGGGAAAGGAGCAAAGAGAAATACTCGGTAATGAGGGGATGAAATGTTACTGGTAAATCACGTTTTCTGAGTACTAAGAACTTCATAGGCCAAATGTACTCCGTATGAAAGCTTAGCTAAGATGGATGCGTTCTTCCTCACAGACATTATTTTTCTACATCAGCAGTAAGACTGTTTTTGAGAAAAAGAGAAAGAGAAGACTGAGGAAACACATGAAACGAGACGAACCATTAGCTTATAATTAATTAAGTCTTAATTATTTTAAACTTAAAAAATATACTAATATGATTTTTAAAGTATTTTTTATAATTTTGTTTTAAAAATTATATCGTTTAGTGGTTCGGAAATCGTACATTGCGGAAAACAAAACAGTTTTCTCCTACTGTGCTTCAAACCAACACACCCCGAGGTACTAAATGTTGCTATATTGTTAACATGTGAATAGATGGGACTGAGTGTTAGAGTGTATAGTTAGGATTAAATGTGATCGATTAGTTTCTATTCTTCACATATTACACCATCCATTTCATATTATAAACCGTTTTAACTTTTTAGTTGATCAAGTTTACAGAAAAATTTAGTAACATCTGTAACACGAAACTAGTTTTATTCAAACTAGCATTTCATATATTTTGATAATATGTTCATTTTTGGTCAAAAGTTGTTATCTTTTTCTAAATTTTTGGTCAAATTTATAGAAGTTTGACTAGAAAAAAAAATCAAAACGACTTAAGTGTAATGCATCGATCCTAAATGTTTTTAAGATAATCCTACCTCTGTCCCATTTTAAATGTAGTTATGGGTTTCCGTGTCCAACGTTTAACCGTCCGTCTTATTTGAAAATTTTATTAAAATAATTTAAAAAATAAGTCACAAATAAAGCATGTTTTATCATCTAATAAGAATAAAAATACTAATCATAAAAAAATTTAAATAAGACGGACGATTAAACGTTAAATATGAAAATCCACAACTGTACTTAAATTAAGATGGAGGGAATAAGTACTAGTATAAATCACCCTTTCCTCAAGAAAATGGACATTTGGTCACATTCAAAACGTGGGTTTCGCTAGAATGCCATTCCAAAAAAGCGATTCGATAAAATACTAACATAAAGCGCATGCCTACCGCCACTTTGCCATTTTCTCTATTTTATCCAATTCCGAAAGGATTTTCGCTCCTCCACCAGGTGATGAGACGGAATTGCCCCTTATCAACACAACTGCCATTCCGTCTGATGAGCGTGATATGGAGCCCGGGGAGATCGTCATCGTCGACCGCCGTGACATGTCGGTGTTTTATGCCTGCCTCGTCCCGCACCACCCGTGCAAGTCCTGCGCTCGCCGAGGAGTCCTCACCCCTGACCGCCGACGTTCTAGCAAGGCCTCATCCGGCGGCACTATAGCGGCCACAGCTTCATCCAGTTGTGCAAGCCATCTGCAGCCTCGTCGTCAAGCTCAAGCTCGCGCCCGCGCATGATGTCATCGCGGGCAAATGGTCGTCAGCCAGCCAGCACGCGTGAGGTGCACACGCGCATCGCCAGCCCGCGGGTCATCGGCTCCTGCCTCTACGACATCGACACGCCCAACGAGGGTGATGAGCTAAAATATCCTTGCTTGCCCAGTGAAAGGGGATCCTCGCCCTTCCCCCACCGTCGTCCTCTCTCGCTTCCCTTTCTACACATCGTGTGCGACGCCGAGGACGACGATGACGGCGATGGCTGCAATCCGTCGACCTCCTCGCTGTCTCCGGGAATCCACCATGTCAGAGCACCTCTTGTTGCAGAGCTCCGTCAGAAGCCGCAGCTTCAACGCTGTTGCCATCCTACCACCGCCGCCTCCCGCCACAACGCTTCGACCTGCTCAACTTCGTTTGAATCCGCCAGAGTCCCACACGCCGCCGCTGATAGACGCGCCCGTGTTTTGGTCTAGAGCCCACGCCCGCTGCAGGGTGCACCTCTCGGTGCGTGGGACGCTGCCTCTCCCGTTTGCAGCGGCCCGCCCCGATGGCGATGACGACGGCGCATGGGACGTTGCCTCCCCCGTCCGTAACGGCGATGGAACTGGTCCCCCTGCCCGCGCCGTCGCCATCACTGCCAGTGACTGACTTCGAGGAGTTCTCCCCGGTGAGCAAGGGCATTTTTGTCTCATCACTACGTGGCCAAGCGAAAATCATTCCAAAATGGTAAAAATGGCAATGTGGCCAGATAGCGTGTGTTTGAGATTGGCATTCTATACAATCGTATTTTTTGAATGTCATTTCAGCGAAACCATTTTTTGAAGGTGGCCAGATATCCATTTTCTCCCCTTCCCTCCCTCCTCTTCCTCTGCACATTATCAATAGCAATAAAAACAACTGCCTAATGATTATTACCAAACAAAACGAAATACTCGAGAGGATAACATTTTCCCTGTAGCAAGGCACGGTTGACGTGCACAGAGATTTGCAGGTCGCACGCGCCTTATTAATGTTGAAGTAGCCACTGTTTGGGGATGATACTGTACTACGGATCTGCCCTCTTTTGCCGCACTGTAGCGCATGTGGGCTGCTACTGGACCGCTTCCTCACTCCACCGATCAAATCCTGGCCGTCCATCTCACGATCCGACGGACCAGATCGCGCGGCGCCGATCATGCATATGCAAAGTGGTAGCCTGATAGATACTTAGCTGTTAACACGAGTGGCTGGGCTACCAACCTACTACACAAATCTGTGTGTTGTATGCAGATTTGTTTGTCCACCCAGCCAGCCTTTTTGCTCCCAGATGCATTCTCTCAATTCTTTTCATTCGCTGCATGCCCTACCTTGTATGGGGTTCATGTGCACACATTTGCATGTGTTTTTGCTGCTGATTTGCTCCAATGCATGTGTTCAGCTTTTGTGCACAGGGTATGTATGTTCTTCAAGTGGAATGTAGTCCTACATGTTTCTGATCTAGATCACCCTCATGAACTTGAGGGCAAAAATAGTGATATTGGGATGGACCATTGCAAATTTGCCATGCAATCTAGAAATCATTGCATACACGGTGGGAGATCTATGAGCTGTTTAGATCGTAGCTAAAAAACTTTATTCCCTTTGTCCCAAAATAAATGCAGCCATGAGTTTTCGTGTTCAACTTTAATCGTTCGTCCTATTTAATTTTTTTAAAAAAAACTAAAATAAATAAGTCACGCATAAAGTAATATTCATGGTTTATAATCTAATAACAATAAAAATACTAATCATAAAAAAATTCAAATAAGGCGGACGATTAAACTTGCGCACGAAAACTCATGGCTGTGCTTATTTTGGTAACGAGGTAGTACCAAGTTTTGACAATAGCAAAAATTTTGGTAAGTTGATGATATTGTCAAGTTTTGGTATGATAACCACTATTGTGTAGTTGCCAAATTACTTATGTATTTACTAAATTTTGGTAAAAGAATAAATAAAATATATGCATATCTTTAACAACTTTACCAAAAATATATATGGTTTGAAATATCATCGATCTGAACACTCCCTTAGAAATATTTCAAAGCCCAAATAAACTTAACTATTGTTAGTATTTGCAATAGAATCTCTATTTCAATTTTTATAATTACTAGAAAAATTCCCGTGCGTTGCAACGGGTGAACATTATTTTAATCTTATTATTGTTATACGATTTAGTTGAGGTGAAATATACTGTTGGGATTCGCTTAGATATATGTATTCTGTTTTTAGAAAATCATGAGCTGAAATTAGGAATCCAATGTCTTAAGTTAGTATGCGAGTTTTTTAAGAGATTTCTTATACGACTCCTTATATATTTCTAAAAGCGAACGAACTTAGAAACTGACTCAATTACGGATATGTATTTTCAAAAGAAAACAAACATAAAATCGACTCATACATAAATGACGCATCAAAATATCGGCAAAAACATCTTTAATTTTTTATAATAGTAGAGAAGTACGCGAAAGTTTAATGGATTCGATGACGAACCCGAGAAGCTGTCGGATTCGCCACTGATTTTATTTTTTATGAAAGACGCATGTTTAAAGATAGAGACATTGATAAATCACTAGATCATGGCCAAAATTGAGAATTTATATTATTATTATAATTATTATTATTATTCTGATAAGTATTGCTTACTACTACATCAGTACATAATTGCTTGCTGGACACTAAATACATAGATAGATACATCGTACATATACGTGACAGATATACCGGCATGGACTACGTCCCCAGCCAGCCACCGCCTCCGGCCGCCGCCGGCGAGCTCCACCGCCGTCATGGCTGTCGCGCCGGCCGTGAGAGGTATACGCGGCATTGCATCACCGTCCGCCCAACTTTGAACCCCGGCACCACGGTGAACCCCACGACGCGGTCACCGGCCGCCGCCGCCGCCACCGCTGTACCGGCGCCGCCATCGTCGCCGTCGCCGTCGCCGTCGCCGACGCTCTCCATGTACACCTCCGAGAACCGCGCCCCGGCGGCCACCTGGAAGATGGTGCTCGCGCCGCCGTCGTCGAACGCGAGGAAGAGGCAGTGCAGCAGCCAGACGCGGCGCGCCATCTCGGCGAACTCGGCGAACCACGGCGTGCCCGGGAGCGCCGCCCCGGCGCTCGCCGCGGCGCCGCGCTGCGCCGTGCTCCCGAAGAAGGCCGCCTCCATCCGCTCGTGCACCACGGACAGGTACCTGTCCCGCAGGAACTCGCCGAGCGCGCCCCACCGCGAGCTCCGCGCGTCGAGGAACTCCGCCGCCGGCGCCGCCTTGAGCTCCGCGAACTCGTCGAAGAGCCGCCGCCGGTCGTAGGAGCTCCGGTCGTGGAGGGCGCTCAGGCCGAAGTCCCTCCGGTGGAAGCCGTCGAACATCTTGAGCGCGACGAACGACTCGAGCGCGAACTTGGCGTCGCCCGGGTGGCGCAGCGGGACGCCCGGGTGCGCGGCGGCCGCGGCGGCGACGGGATCCCACCCCGCCCGCCGCATCTCGCCGAGCATCGACTTGGCGAAGGAGCGGACCGACCTGGCGGCGTGGCGCAGCGCGGTGAGGAAGTGGGTGGCGTTGAGGCCGGAGAGGTGGAGGCCGTCGAGCGCGGCGAGGGTGCGTCCCGGGTGGGCGCGCTCCTCCAGCGCGCGCGCGGCGCGGAGATCGTCGGCGAGCGCGGCGCGGGCGCGCTCCGCCTCGGCGTCCCGCGCGCGCAGCTCCCGCCCGAGCTTCCCCGCCGTGATCTCGTAGGTCCGGAGGAGGTGGCGCTGCTCGTCGGCGTGCGCGGCGAGCGCCGCGGGCCCGGCCGCCGCGCTCTTGGCCGCGGCGGCGGGGTCCCTGGCGAACCTCCGCTTGTGGTCGGAGAGTTTGGTGAGCTCGGCGACCATCGCGGCGTCCGCCGACTGGATCGCCTCGGAGTCGTACGGGTGCTGCGCCTGCTGCAGCTGCGCGTACGCCGCCTTCACCGCCGACACGCCGGCGAAGAGGCTCGCCACGAGCGCGTGCGCCGCGGCGGCGTCCACCGCCGGGGACGCGGCCGGCTGCGCCGCGCTCCTGAACAGCACGTCGAGCTTCGCCGCGGACAGCTTGAGCTTGCTCAGCGAGTTGATGGAGCTGTCCATGGACGACTCGTCGTACTCGCCGCCGCCGGCGACAGAGCCCGACGTGGAGCGCTTCCGGCGGAGCAGCCTCACCAGCCGCCGCGCCAGGCCGCCGCCGGCCTTCTGCTGCGGCAGCTCGGCCGCCATTAGCGTCTCCATTGGTAGCTCAAGCTCTCACTCTCACTGAGCTCACTCAGAGCAAGCTTCCACTGGCTCAGCTTCTTGCTGCTCGCTTTGGTTTCTTGAAATGGAGAGGAAGAAATGGGAGGGCTAGCTAGGATGGAACACATTATTAATTAATTAGTTAATTAAAGGGAAGAGAATAATTAGAGGCGGTGCTAGTACTGTAAAACAGGTTCATTAAATTAAATATAATAATTAAATATGCTGTCATGTACTGTACTATCTGATTATTAAAATGGCATGAGGTACAGATGGGGAAGCGTTTTTTGTTTTTTTAAAAAAATTTGAAAGATTTTGTTTAGGAGGGGATGTTTGCTCTCTTTTTTAATTTCTGATGTTTTGATAATTAGGTAGGAAGCACACCGGCAAAAAAAAAATAAAATTCCCTTTTGTGATTTTTTTGGGGGGCTTTAGGGTTTATTTTCTTTTTACAGAACATTGGATCCGGATTCCTGCTGTGATGTATGGGCAAAATATTTTTTTTTCTTTTGGCATTTTTACAGGTGATAGTTTTGAAGTTTTTAAATGTCAAGTAGGAAATGTTTGGGGGTATATTACCCACTTGTGGGAACAAGTAGAATAATCTGGCTGCATATCTCCTGACTAGATCTCCTGGGCGAGTTTTTTAATTAGTTGTAACTTTTGGGGTAAAATTGCATGGGAAAGGTACAAGTAATATGGGAATTGTTAAAAGTGTGAATCTATATGTTGAATGAATAGATATTCACATTAGGGGCTCATTTGAAATGCAGAAATTTAACGGAACTCTTTATAGGAAGTGGCTCAAGTTCTTGAAAATTCTTTGAAATTCCTCCATTTCAAAGAAGGATGAGAGACTCTTTTTATAATTGAAAATTTTATGGAACTTTCACAAGATTTAGTTCAATTATCATAAAAATCCTACGAAATTACTCATATATGCCCAAATATACTTAAGAGGGGGTTTCTCAAAGGAAAACCATAAGAGCTAAAATCAAACATTAACCAAATCGTTAATTATTGATGGAGGTTTATGTTATCTCTATCTTTAGGTTGGTAGTATGTGTAGTTTCTTATTCTAATTAAGCTGTGATTTTGTAATTCGCAGCCATTTGATCTGCAATCTTGGTAATAACTGATTATATTTGTCCTTTAAAGTAAAAAACCGAAATAAATTTTATTATCTTAAAAAGGATTAATCAACATAACCAAAGTTTATCAAGTGCTACCCACATCCACATGGACCACATCACTGTTTCTGTTCTATCTCGCTGTTAAAAGACATTTTCCCTGCAGAAAGTCAAGTGAGCAGTAAGCAGTACAGGCAGTACTACTACCGTGGCAACGTCCAACATGTAAACGGGAAACGGCTAAATCATAAAAAGCAGCCAAAGGTAATGGACCCGGACACATTCATTGAAAATGATTTGAACTCGATGTGATGGGCCCACCTGTCATAGCCGTTAGGGCAACAAAACAAACAGGGGCCGCCCCTGTCTTCCTCACCGTAATTATCCTCGCCAGTCCAATGTCATCATTTACCAGGTAGTGTCTCTCGCAAAGCAATATACTCCCTCTATTCTAAATTGATTTATATATTTGTACATCGAGACCAAAAAACCTAATAACTCTCTCATACTATATTTACTCTAGCAACAAATTCAATGTATGCACTATCCCCACTATTTCCTAGCTAATAGCAAATCAAGATATTACGTGTGGGTTATATATACTTGTGTGCATGGATGCATGCATCAATGCCCATTTACTCCAATACACAGATAACGAATAGACTTGATGAATGAATACAAATATAATGATCATTTAGTAATAACCTCAAAAAAAAACTATATGTACATCAATTTAGAATGGAGGGAGTACAGTACTATCTTAGTAGTAAGAGGTACTCCCTCAGTCCCATAATATAAGAGATTTTAAGTTTTTGCTTATACTGTTTGACCACTCATCTTATAAAAAAATTTTGGAATTATTATTTATTTTTTTGACTTACTTTATTATCCAAAGTACTTTAAGCATAACTTTTCGTTTTTTATATTTGCACAAATTTTTTGAATAAGATGAGTGGTCAAACAATTCAAACAAAAACTTAAAATCCTTTATATGATGAGACAGAGGGAGTAAATGTTATCTTTGACCTAATTTTCCATTACAAAGAACACTAGCATACACCTCTACCTAACAGAGCACACCCACATCCTCATGAATACGATTTATTAATTAAGACATGCTTGAAGAGACATTAGCACATGATACTAGCAGTAATTTCCCAATTTCCTAATATGTTACTAAAATTTTCTTGAAAACACATATACGTGTGTGTAATATTTATGTGCAACCAAATTTAAAACATGGTAGGATATAGTCATACGCTCACGACTATATTATTACACCATCGTTACTTACTTATAGTAGATGCTCACTCTATCCTAAAATAAATTCATTTACAAAAACAAAAATACTACAATACCCTCTCTTTATCAAATTCCAATATAACTATTTATCTATTTATTTACTCCCAATACAGATATACCATACTTTCGTAAATTCTGATGCAATGATTGCTAAAAAAATGAACTATTCTAGGATAAATCGGAGAGACCAAAAATGAACTTATTCTGAAATGGAGGGAGTATTATTTTAGATATGTTCGGTCAAATATGAAAATATTAATTATACAAAAATATTAAAAATGGAAAAGTAAAGAGATGATGATAATATGTTTATCTTAAAAACACTTCATTTAGTTATAATTTTTATAACTTATATAAATATTTTTAAAGAACTATAAATATATATTTATAAGAGGCAAACATGAAAACATGTATATTATAGAATGTATATATTAGAGACGGTATTGGCTTCATAGAGGACAAATAGCAAAAACCGAAAGAGTAACACGTAATACAATAATAATCTTAGAGCAAGTTCATGTTTTATACAGGACTAAATTCTAGAAAAATCATGTGAACTGTAGATCATCGATCGTGATATGGAGGTTATAACCTTTAAAGCTAGCTAGAGGGACAAAATTCGAAAACGGCGTTGCACTAGACGTTGTTCTTCCTATACCAGGTACTGTACTAGCTAGGAGAACAAGGAGAATATTTAGCCATTGTAGGTGGGAGACATCGCTAGGTTTTGCTTTCAAGTGGAAGATACATGATACGTCACCTTTTCTCTGAGTCCCACGAGAGCTACTTACTACCATTTGGGCTTGGACAAATTTGTTTCATTTTGAACATTTTATTAATATTACAAACAAATCACCAATAAAGTCTATCTAAAGAATTTTTTTTATTTACTATGACAGCCAGTTTAAATAATCCCTATGAACCAACGGCCAACGCTTCCCTTGGCGCCTTAGACCACTGCCTCACGTCATGAACTATCGTCGGCCTCATAGGTCCGAGCCCGGGAGACCGGATCTAGTCGAGGACGCGTTGGGTCTGGCTAGGAGACGTTGGCTCATGATGTACATTGCCTCGTCATACCCCCCCCCCCCTCCCAAGGACACCGAATCCAGTCGATGATACATTAGATCTGTCCGTCCCTCCCAACGCCTTGCCACACCTTTGTCAGCATCCATGGACCACAAGCAAGGAGGGAAGGAACACCTCGCCGCCATAAAAGAGGAAGAACGCCCCGCCGCCGGATATAGATTCATGTTAGCCTGCTCAGGCGACGGTGAGGATGTGGCCGGAGATGTGGGAGCGTTGAGGTGCCACGCGATTGCTGCCCATGTCACCCCACATGGATGACGCAAGGACCCTATGTGTAACAGGTGCAAGTTTAACATGAAAAAAACAATTGTTTGCAATTTAAAACTTCACTAGAAATGTTGAAAAACCAAATATTACTATATGATATTTTTTTACTATAATAGTCTAAAGTAACTAATATATTCTAAAATCAATTAATAGGAAAAAGTCTTACCATGAGTCTATGTAGGCCTAAGCCAGCTAGCACCACAAAGCCGAAGGAGCAACTGTGTGAGCAGCTGCGCCAATTAACGATTCTGAGAATCATCTCTTTGTTGTTAGCTAAAGCTTAGACATAATTTTAATTGCCTTAACCTAGCAAGTTTGGCAAAAGTTATGAAATAATAATGGCTCGAATGTTGGTTAGCTTTTCCTTTTCATCTCGCTGAGACTCTCATATATAGTCAAATACAAAAGGATAAATCGAACAAAAATAATACTACACTCTAGCTGCTTGCCGACCAATCATCAATTCCAGGACCAAAATATGAGAATGATATGGCATGGTAAGGTCCATAAGGAGAGAAGAATAGACGATAGAGACTCTTTGGCTTTTGTACATGAACAGCATCTGCCAAAGGGAACATTGTCGATTGCAATTGTTAGCTTTGCAAATTAATTTATTAAACCTGTGTGTTAGGTCTACCACTCTCAGGCCCCTGTAGGAGATTAAGTACAATAGGCTTGCCCCATTCCCGGGGAGCCCTTTCAGTTTGTAAATTAGCTCCCATAGTGTATGTTTCTGCTTCTAAACTCGCAAAGTAGTCTGACATCAATCACTCTCGGTTCATGTACTGTCTCTACCCTTAAAAAAACTTAACCTAATACTTAATGTGACATAACCTAGTTAACGAATCTGGACATTCGTCCGAAAAAATCCAACCTAGTACTTGGATGGAATATAATTAGTACAACGAATCTGGATTAGATTGAGTTTTTTTTGGAACGGAGGGAGTAGGAGTATAGTTTAGGGGGCAATTAGTTTGTAGCCATGTAATCCAAATTATGCATGCTAATTGCTAGCTAGCTAGTGTTCACGGTGGGCCATATCATATTTAATTGAAAAATAATATGCTCACTCTTTACTTGAAGAAGTTTATTATTTTATTCGTCAATCGATGTCGATCGATTTTCACATATGGATCTTTGCAGGCATTCAAGTGTGAACGAACGACAATGTTGTGTTAAACATCTCGAGTAGAAATAAATTAAAGCGGTGGATTACACAACTACTAGTACCGACTACCGTGAGTTTCGTTTATGTGGCTAAAGGCCCATTCGTTTCTACAATAAGTGGATAAAATTTTAGATATCTGTGGCACGTTTTTCAAACAGCTAAACAGTGTGTTTCGTGTAAAAACTTTCTATATAAAAGTTGCTCCAA